ATGCATTTAAATAATCTTATTGCGATTACCAGCAGCAATCTCATCAATGATCAGAGACGTGCATCCGCTTCCTCTTATCATGATATCATGTGAAGACAACATATGATGGGGTTTATCTACTATTAAATATTTGTTCATAATTCTGTTTTTATGAATTATAATGTTTGTATTTTGCATGTATTTGCATTTGCACCGTATTTTTGTACCCTAAAGAGTCGTTACGCGCACGGGAACAGTAAAACCCACCCAAAACCCTCTCCTCTCTCGTCCCATCCAATTTGCTTCCTTGCCGATGGGATCCTCCGCAAGCCAGGCTTCCATCCCGTCCCGCCAATCGGTCCCGAGGTGTCGCTCCCTCCGGAGTAGGACGAGAAGCCGAGGCCCAGAAAGTCGACCGACTGGTTGAATCTTCCCTGCCTCGTTCCCTTCGAGCGGATACAACGAGAGGCACTCGTTTTGTGTACGTATCCTCTGCGGTTGCTATGCATCTGCAAGAACGCTGGTTAAATTCTTCGATTATTGGTTCTAAATGTCGAGTAGGACAGGGCAAAGATGCATCTTCTGGTGCCGATCGAAGCCTCTTTCTTGTGTTTGTCTCGCGTGCTCCTTGTAAGTTGCAAAAGGAGCTACAGTCCAATCTCGTATAGAAACTTGCAGAAAAGACAATAGGAAGGTTTGTCGTTTCCAATGCGTACATCTCTTCTTGCAAGGGTAGTTCCTAGGCACATTAACCTTCACCAGACCCAAAACAGGTGGAGCCTCATTGGCTGGATCTCCCTTTTCCTTAGTGCATTATAGACTTCAAGTGCATCAATTTTCTTTTAGGAAAATAGGAGTTTTTGATCCACCAGGTGCTCAAGTGACTGATTTTAATGCCGTAAAGGAAACGCGAAAACTGAAGTGGTTGATTTCTGTTAATTCTAGCTCCATATGTATTCTCACAATGCTTCCTGCATTGTCCATGAATCCAGAGAGTTCAGTTCAGTCATTTTAACTCATCCGCAGGTTGTCTAGTTCAAATTTGATGGCTTTGTTGGTTTGACCTTTATAATTGTTGACCTGAAACCCTTCTACAGTGTTTTCATGGTGGTTCCAATGACGTTATCAGTGCTTCTCCGGAGGAGCAATTGAATATGGGGTTTAATTTTATTCTTTTGATAGAGGTGAATAACACATGGATTCGATCGTTTCTCACAGCCTTAAAGCTTAACCACTCTAATTATTCTGTTTTCTTATCCATATTCAATATCTAATCATGATAATACGGAAGGGTATGATGATCGGAATCTTCTGGGCCTTCAATCATAATAACTGATAAAATAATTGCTACATTCTGAACCCAGTGCTTAGCCTTTGATTCATCAATTCTGATTTTTTTTCTTTTGATTGTGCATTGCAGGTTAATAATCGACTGATGGATTAAAAACTTGGATTTGGTATGACCATACGAGAGTGAAGCTTCCTATATAATTTCTCCAGAAGATGGAATGGAAATTTATCTGGCTGCTGGGTTTCGTGGTCGCCTCAGCATACCATGTCTGAGACCTCCTCATTTCATAGCTGCCAAGCTCATGCTGAAGGTTAGTTAACAAAGGAAATTACATTTATGTATTCTTATGAGTTGGATTCAAACAAATACTTGTTTCTCGATAGCCATTTGGTACTGTGGTATTTAATCACCAGATTCTTTGTTGAAACAAGATTTATAACAGCTTTCATTGTAGAAAATTTTCTAGGAAGTTTTTTGTGTCAATTTGGATTACTTCTCAAGCATTCCTTTGCTTCGTTAGTGCAGAAGCATGTGGAGGTAATGGGCCTCTAAAAGTTATAGAAATCTATAATTGCTTAATAATAATGAAAAGTTATACCATGATGGCATAATAAAGAATCACCAAGCAAGTCAGATGAAAAGATCATATAACTAATTGTCATCTTGTATTTTTGAACAGCATTGCATAGTGAATGATGCATTTTTCTTCAAAAAAAAAATTGTATCATTTAACTGATTTTTGTATGCTGAAACTTTGACAAGTGATAACCTTAACATACCACAGAATGAAAGACTCGGACAAAGACTTGATACAACTTTTTATTGGGTTCTTTTACCAACTTCACTTTTGATCCGAGGAGAAAAATGTCATCTGGGTAATGTTTCTTAGATATCACTCCAAAAGAATAGCACTAAGCAATGTTTAAAAGCTTTGACTTGGAATTCAACTTTTGAACTGCATTTTGCTTAATTAGGGGACAAAATTGACCTTAAAATAATCATCAACAATTAAGTTAATAACGGTCAACCAATAAAACGCGTGACATCTTTTCAAAGTTTTGTTTAAGTAGGCGATTAAGTCAGAAGTCAGAACTTCTATTACCAAATGGGTTGGACATGGACACATTTGGATTTGCTACTCATGCATGTGAGACATGGCTTTGCTTGATTGATTGATCACAGGACAACGTAATGAACAAATTAGGCAGCAGAAACACTACCAGATCTTCAAGAATCGACTGAGAAATCCCTAGATACCCGGTGTTCATCAAATCCAATAAACATTCATCTATATCCAGTGTAGTTTATTCCCCATCATGTGCATCATCTCTTAACATGCATTCACTTTTTTTCCTTGTTAAGAAACGTTGTAGGTATTCACCTATAAGACTATACATATATACCTCTTGATAAGAACATATAAATGAAGCATGCTTATTTTCGCTGCTTATAATATGTTTTTTTAGTTTGATGAAAAAGTGAACCTTCGACTATTGCATATTCATATTATAAGACTATAAGACTATACATATTCACCTGTAAGACTGTACATATATACCTCTTGCTAAGAAAGCATGCTACTTTTTTGCTGCTTATAATATATATATTTTTAGTTTGATGAAAAAGTGAACGGTTTGACTGTTGCATATCTCTAGAAATTGGAAGCATGGTTTGCATCGATTCACTATGATAATTATTCTTCCCAAAGCTTGTGTTGCAAAATCTAATGCTCCGATCTTTAAGTTTAGATGTCAATGTCTTGAAATTTCTGTTCCGATCAGAGTGCTGGCGTTTGTTGGCATGTGTTCTTAAGAATCATTACTATTCGGATATGGTTGAGCTAATATTTTAATGCCTGTTATTTTCTCTTCTTCTTGGGGATTTAAATTAGTAGTAGTTGATACGGATGCAACTAATATTATATTTCTTATGAATGCAAAAGGATAGCTATCGAATGGGGGCCGTGACTGGATCGAGAAAATATTTTATTTGACTTGACGTATGGCTTTGAGAAAGTGTTGAATGAGTGGCCCAAAGGGACAATTAGGTGTCAACGTCTGTGAAGTGTAAGATCAAGCATCTGTATTTATTATGATAGCATTTTCTCTTATCATTGAGTAAATATAAGTAGGAAAGTTAGGCAAAAGTTTTTGACGTAGATTTAAATGAGGTTGCAAAACAAAAATCAAAACAGCTTGTTATCTGTTTTCCAAGATTAGGTTCTTTGTCAAACTCCGGACATCCAAACTGTAGGTAGAATCTAGGATTTTAGGACAGAGCTATTGGTCCAAACATGTGTATCCTTTTAATTGTATAACTATTTTAGTTAAAGATGCTCTAGTGCTTTTAATTTAGCTAATTATGTTGAGCACAATAATATGAAAAGATCCATATACTCAGCCACAAATATATGGAACATTTTGACTACTTGTTATTGCTGTTGTTTCTTGTGCTTAACAATGTATTCAATATGATGCAGCTGAAATCAACAAAGAGGTACATGTTTTCACCAATTATTCTTTTTTTGCCATCTTGGAATTACAAGTATAAAATACACAAAATTAGAGAAAACAAAATCGTGGATTCTTCTAATCCTGTGTGCTTTATGCAGATATGGTGAGCTTTGCTGGTGATGTGGGTCACACACAGCACAAGCATCTGGTACTTCCTCAGACCCAGTAAACCCCACGTTTTAAACTTGCATGGCTGGAATCAGCCGACAAAAGTGCCAACCTGTCATCACTCGTGGGTAACATCAAGCACCAGTTGAATTTAATTATATTTTTTTATAATAAATTTATCATGTATATATTTTTATAAAAAGATAAATCTTAAAGATAAAATTCAAACTTAGACTGTGTGATAATCTGTTAAAATCTTTATGAGATTTAATTCTATGATAAATTATTATTCTTTGATGCTTTAACAAAATTATTAGATTGGCTTAAATCGAGTTGAGTTTAATTTGGATTAGCGAAGTAATTAGTCGGATATGGATATTATCATTCTATTCTATCTCATCATTTAAATTAGATTATAATATTTTTAAATTTTGTTTTAAAAAAATAAGAGCGTTATTTAGTTTTGATTATCTGTATAGCTACTGTCAGATTCAAATAGAATGAAAAATATGGGTGTTTTATTTATTGACATTTCTAAATATAATTGGGTCAATTTACATAAAAATAGGATGAGACTTTGCAGGTTTATGCCCATTATTATTGAGGTAGACCAATTTAAATAAACATATAAGTATAGTGATTATTTTTATTTTATATGCATCGTGTCAACATGAACTGTCTCGAGGGCCTATTTGCGAATTTTAAAGGCCCCGAGAGCCAAAGTTGGACGGCCAAGATTGCTCCTTGAGGAGGCGCACGGCGGGGATCTCCGCGCTGCATATGCCGAACACAGGTCTCGAAGCCACAATAAACATTTTCTTTTTCGCTTTTATTATTATTGTTTTTTTTATATTTCCGTGAGAAAAGGTTGGATTTTTGGCTTTTAAAAATCCAGGTTTTTTGTGTGGTGATGCGATTCCCAATGGAAGCGAGTGGGCTTAATTATTGGGGGGTTTTATCTCTCAGCCAATGCTTAAATTACTTACATACCCTTCACCCCATTATAATTTCGTCGGATGAAATGATTTGGAAGCAGTAAATTTGTTATTTCAGATGTCCGAGCGGGGTATAAGCGTAAGTTAGTGACCTCGTGACGCAACCGAGTACAGTGGGGAGGGAAAGCGAGAGCAATAATGACCGCGGGGGCGCAACTCGAGATAAGAACCAGAACGGAAGGAGGACCTCCATCTCTTCCTGTCTCCTTTAGTCCGCTTCAATCCTCGGTTTGATCTTCACTTTCTGTGGTCTTCCGTGTAGAGTCTGTGTCGTCGTCTCTCCCCTCTGCCTTTCTCCCTCTTTCTGGTCCCTGTTCTTGTGAAGGCTGGTCTTCTGAGGGGTAACCCCCGGGTGCCGTCTCAGAGCTGCGTAGAGGCGGCGCTAGTGGAGGTACCAAGTCTGTAGGAGTGGCCGGACAACAAAAAGGTGCGATTTTTCATCCTCCCTTCGCCTAAAGTTGCGTCCTTTACTACTCTGTTCTCTGTTCCCGTTTTGGTGGATCTTAGCGCCCCGTTTCTGCCCGGCTGCTTTCTTACGATCTCAGATTCAAGCAAATTGCAGTTCCTCGTCGAAGTATTCCTTGTTTTGTGCTCTTGTTGTTTGATGCGAGAAAAGTACTCGATTTCTTGGCGGTTGCGCTCTTCGTTCTGCTATAGCTAGAGAAAGAAAGCGCGTTTCTGTGCTCCGAATCCGGGTTCTATCTTTACACGCCTTGGGACAGCGTACTGTTTACGTTTTGATTAGGCCTTCGGGTTTAGTAATGAGTTGAATTGGACCAACACGAAATTTAGTGCTGGATCTGCTCGTCCGCTTCTTATCTAAATTATTTTCAGTATTCCATCTCTTGATCGCATGATTTCTCATTCATCTGCTAAGATCTGGACGGTATGTCATATCTGAATAATTCTGTTTGTCGAATCGGTGTTGCTTACACTTTCCGTGTGTGTATGGAGAAAAAGGTTCAATTTTTCATCCTTCTAATCTCGTAAATTTCTTCTGTATGCGATCATAATCTCTTTTGGTATCACTATTGTGAAAGATATGATAAGGGTTTGCTTTTATTTCATTTGGCTGAAACTTCACGCAAAGTGGGCGTCTGTGGGTTCATATGGTAGTGTTAGATATTTTTGTTGTTGCTTTTAGCTTCCCCTTTTGCGCCGCATCCGTACAATTTAAATTATTTTTCTTTTTCTTCATTTTTATTACGTTGTCTACAGCTTTGCTGCAAATCTTTTATCATGTTTCATGACATAGTTTGAGTGTTGATGCTAATTTACTAGACTATTGTTGTACTGTTAACATTTAGAGCATAAATAAAATGAGAATTTATAGAATATGTAAAGTAATTCATCTGTTCTAGGATTTAATCTAATTTGAACTTTTTTATATCCAGCATGAGGATCAGCTCATAAATTGGTTCTGCTTCTGGAATGTCTTTATTTATGTTGACTCATGTTCTTCTCGAACGCCGTGCCGATTGGTTTTTCTTCATGTATATACATGATTTTATACATACACACATATATGTACAACTTTACATCTTAGTATCATATACATCCTTGTGGATCAGATATCTTTCTGTTTGTTGAAGACTTCATGGCATGCACCTCTCATTTATGTTATTTGTGGGATATACTTTTCTTGATTTTTTTACACTAAATTTTGTGCACACATGTTGAATGTAATAATTGAGGTAGAAAAAAAATCTTAATGTATTTCAGGAAACAGCTTTGATTGTTCTTGTTGTATGTTTCTTCACACGCACATGCTGCAAATTAATTACTTTCACAAGGTTTTGAAAATTTTCAGATGCAGCGGCAGCTCATGTTTTCTAATGCTTTTGTCCTCTGAATTGCAGGAGAATACTAAATCTGTTCTATACTCGGGGGAATATTGTGCTGCTTGTAGTTATTTATGGGGATGCTACTAGTTCAAGACATGATGTATCCTGGTGGCCCAAACTATGGTCAAATTTTCCCCTACAATGATGAGAGGAATGTCAGTTATGGTGGCTTCCATCAGCTTTCCACGGGTGAATGCATACTGGGAGAGGGAGATCTGGTTGATCCGCCACCGGATAGATTTGCTGAGGCTGCTGATGAAGACAGTGACGAGGACGTTGACATAGAGGAACTCGAACGACGCATGTGGAGAGACCGGATGCGGCATAAACGCTTGAAGGAGCAGCAACAGAGCAAAAACAAGGAGCAGGGTGATGCAGAAAAGCAATGTCAGTCACAAGAACAGGCTCGTCGGAAGAAGATGTCTCGGGCACAGGATGGAATTCTCAAGTACATGCTGAAAATGATGGAGGTCTGCAAGGCTCAGGGGTTTGTCTATGGCATAATTCCGGAGAAGGGCAAGCCCGTCAGTGGTGCTTCTGATAATCTCAGAGGTTGGTGGAAAGAGAAGGTTAGATTTGATCGGAATGGCCCTGCTGCTGTAGCCAAGTACCAGGCTGATAATGCCATCCCTGGATTTGACAGTGATTTTAACTCTGGATCTGTAAGTCCTCATTCGCTGCAGGAGCTTCAGGACACAACATTGGGTTCTCTCCTGTCAGCTCTTATGCAGCACTGTGATCCACCTCAGCGACGGTTTCCACTTGAGAAAGGAATCCCTCCACCATGGTGGCCTACTGGTAGAGAGGGATGGTGGCCTCAATTGGGCATCCCAAAAGAACAAGGTCCACCTCCATACAAGAAGCCACATGATCTGAAGAAGGCATGGAAGGTTGGCGTCTTGACGGCTGTAATCAAGCATATCTCTCCTGATATTGAGAAAATCCGTCGGCTTGTTAGGCAATCCAAATGCCTCCAAGACAAGATGACTTCCAAGGAGAGCGCGACATGGCTTGCTGTCATCAAGCAGGAGGAGGACATGTACATGAAGATGCACCCTTGTGCCCTCGCACCCCCATCTGCTGGGAGTGGTGTCACTGGAGCAATCTCCTTCAACAGCAGTGAGTATGACGTTGAAGGCATTGATGAAGCCAAGAATGAGGATGTGACAATCTATAATCTGGTTGCTGATGGTAATACTTTGAACTTAGGAGCTAGTTCAGGGAATCGGATGTTTGGATCAGCTCTGATGAAGGAAGAGAATGATGTCGAATTCATTCAGAAAAGAGCTTCATCCGAGTGTGAATTGATGATGAACCAGCGGACCTATACCTGTGATAATGTGCTATGTCCACACAATGATTTCCATAGTGGATTTCTTGATAGGAATGCCAGAAACAGTCACCAGTACATCTGCAAGTATCAGAACACTCTTCCTCCAGGTTCTGGGATGACGAGTAGCAGTTTCCAGGTGCCTGAGAACAAGCCTTTAGCTTTTCCTCTGCAATTGAATACTGAGTCAAATCATCCTTCAATTGGATCAAGGCTTAATCCAGTGGATATTTCTGAATTGGGTATTCCTTCTGATGGGCAAAAATCAATCGATGAGTTAATGAACTTCTATGATAACAGTATCAGTGGTAGCAAGAACATGAACTTGGAAGGTGTGACCATGTTGGAAGGATCGAATTCTCATCAGCCTAGAATACAAATGGAAAACAACTTCTTGGGGCAGGGGTCAGGAATTGCTTGCAATCTATTTGAAGAAGTTGGTAGCTTGATGGAGCAATCACGCTACGTGCAGGAAAACACGGTACCATTTGAACAAGAACTTGCTAGTGGGGGCTTCATGACGGGGTCTGGCTTCAACATATCTGAAATGAACTACTCTGATACCTTGCATAGGGGTATCGGAGATTCCTCACAAAAGCAAGATGGATTCAACTGGTTCTGCTAAAGGAAATTTGGTGAAGGACCCATTCGGATGATTCATCACTGTGTAAGATCACGTGTTCAAAGTGATGGGAATCATGTCAGCAGCATTGGAATGGATTTTCGAATATAAATAATGCTTGGATTTGGGTTAAGGTGCTCTTCTTGTACCTCGGTATGTACATTTTCTTCCGTTTTCGTTGTGTCTTGGACAAATATTATCATGTGGAGTATGCTCCCAGGGAGTTATCATGAAAATGTTATAGTCTTGAATAGGAAGTGTAGGTGTGGGGGTTTTATTAGTCATGGGTACCGTGAAATGGATACTTTGATCTAATCCCTATATATATATATATATATATAATCTTGTTTTTGCTCCGATATCTGTGGCTTATTTGGCTTGCATTTTGTTACTTTTGGTGTTTGTTTATGTTAACTTGAAGAATATTTCTCCTTTTTTTCTAGATGGTGAATGAATTCATGTGTGGTTTTGTTGAAATGAAATCACTGCTGCAAAGTAGTTTGGTATTTTCATTTGGCTTCTAAAACTTGCAACTTCTTGTGAGAATAGATTTCTTGGTCTCATATTTCTCTCCTTGGAGGATCTCTCTCTCTCTCTCTCTTCCTCACATTATTCAGGCTTTTTGACAGATGAGGAAATAGTGTGTGAAAGTCTGGGATATGCCATGCACTGTAAGTTCCTGAACTGGTAATGCATATAGTCTTCAAGTTCTTCCAAGTTAATGCCATAACACCTTCGAGTCTTGCATCTACAAGTTAGGCAGATGAAGAAGAATGGACTTTTGATAACCTACCAAGTTTCTGTCAACCTTTGTTCGTTGATTTGTCATTTTCAAGTGCTATCCATCTCATCCTACTTCTCCACCTGTGGCTCTTCACATGAAGGCCAAGAGTCGTGAATCAACAAGACAGACTGAATCCTTTCCTTCTTCACATGCCTACATCACCCTATGGTGTGTAGCTAGGAAAACTACATGTTTGATGAACTGCAAAAGTCTATTACCCTTTCTTTACACGGGACTCAAAACATCACCATCCACTTATTGAACTTGATCAGCTATTTTTAAATGGTTACCGATCATACAATTTTGTCTGTCTCTTGGCTTTGTCCTTGAGAGCAGACAATTTTGTCTCTTGGCTTTGTCCTCGAGGAAAGAAGATAAGGAGGAGACAATTTTGTCTCTTGGCTTTGTCCTTGAGGAAAGAAGAGAAAGAAGAGAAGGAAGAGGTAGACTTTTGTAATACCTGGTTTAGTCTCAGTCTCTCTGTAAGAATTTGATGAGTATATTATTATTATTAATCAATTAACATAGTATTAAACATGATGAGGACAGGACCTGCAAGGAGAAAACAATTGAATTAACTTGGGATAATATCAAAACATTAGTGCACTCGGAACTATGAGAAAATAAAACCAAATCCTTTTCTGCCACACTGGAACCTGATGATCTATGAAAAGATGTGGATCCAACACAATGTTAGGATTGTGCTTTCTTCTTGGTGCAGCAATTTCCACACACCACGAAACCTGTTCATGGTGCATGGGCAGTGGATTCTATTCCCGCAGCCTATTTTGACTACCGTTCACGCATGTACCTCCACAACTTGTGCGATTGATACCGATCGCCTACCGGCAAAGTTATGACAACAAGATTAGTGTACTTCTTGTCGGGATTCTTCCTTGTTTTTTTCTCGGAATTCCTTTCCAAGGTGACCTCAGTTTCATGGCTACACGAAAGAAATAAGGCGAGGAAGGAAGGGTTCCCCGTCCGTGCATGACCGCTCCTCCGACTCCGACACGAGTGGTAGCACCAGTTTCTCCGATGCAGGGAATCCCAACACTCGACGGCAGGAAGGTCGACAAGGGTGAGGGTCTTCAGACAGGGTGGCTGGCCAAACTGTGGAAGGCATTCGATGAAGGGAGAGCTTATCCAATGCTTGCAGCTTCTCACATCGAACGAAACGATCGAGTGTAAGCTCAACCAGATTTAGAACCGAGACATCATCCGTCATCCACCCGGGCGGCGTCCAGCCTACATAGCTTGGATCTGCAGAAGCTGCAGGTTTTGTGGCGGTAGAAGGCTTCCTCCAAAGACTATTATGTAAATCAGATCTAAAGACTATTATGCATATTTTGAGTAGTGTATCTAATAAATCAGTTCCAACAACTCCATTTGAGTTATAGACCGGTAGAAAACTTAACCTGAAACATTTACATATTTAGGATTATTCTATAAAGATAATAGTCTTCGATAAAAAAAATAAATTTAAAAATTATTTTTAAAATATTTTATTATTTATCTAGAAAAATTCAAAGGATATAGATTTTATTATTTTAATATAAGAATAGTTGAATCTGTAAGATTTCTAAAAATAGCGAATCAATGAAAGTAAAATTTTTAAATTTTAATCTTGATATTAATGAGAGACTGATTGATATTATTTTATCACTTTATATTCGAAAGATTATTACTCCTCAAATCACTAAAATCATTGATGATGATAAATAATAAAATAATATTAATAAACTCCCATATGATGTTGATGTCATTGCTAATAATCTTTTAGAACAACCATAGTTTTGAAAAAATCTAAAAGAAAAAAAAGATATATCATTCTTGATGATTATATAGTATATTTACGAGAATCATATTATGATATAATGATTAAAATGATCTCTCATTATTTTCATAAGTCAGAAAATAATGATTCTGAAAATAATATAATATAATAAAAAAATATGTCTAAAAACTTATTGAATTGTCCAATAATTATAAAAGAATATGTTATAAGTGACTCCTTAAAGACAAAATGTGACTCAAGAGATAATAGAATGATATAATGAGTTATTTTCTTTGATTTCTAAAAAAGTTTCATTGTAAATGGTCATGACATTATGTTTTGGAATGAGAATCTAAATGATAAGATCTAAAGAGCGCTTGTAGGGGCCAAAAGGAAGTGGAAGGATGCTTCCGGCTTTGTTGGATCAAGACTTGTGGCCTTCGTCTTGCATCCAGCTTTGCAGTCAAGTTTCTTAGCACTCGAGCAAGACCAAGCAACACGACTCCTGTTCGGGCAATTGCTCTAAATTCTTGATACGCATATGTAACAAAGCAGCCTTAACCAGTCTTAGGGTGCATTATAAAGATGAATAACAACATACTTATAACAAGACCAAAACAACAAAGTATTCAAGAAGTCCCTCCTGAAGAGAGGTGAGTTCAGAATCAAGACACAAAACTTCAATAAACACATTCCTCAAAAGTAAATAACCTACAGATTCAGTGACTAGGCATTGTTAAAGAGCAGACCTGGAAAGTTCAAATAGGAACTTATAACGACTAGTCGATAAATTTGTCATGGCAAGAAGTAAATTGAATTGTCCCCTGAAGATTTTTCAGCTATCGTCATTTAATCAGTTGACTGTTAAAATCTTGATTATGGAAGCAACTCCAATTCGATGCAGTGCCACGACTGATTCTCCAGACTTGCAGAGTCCTAATGACTTAGCGTGATCAATTGCAGATTCAATAGCTTCGTCTGTGGACTCCGTGTCTGAAGCCTTTGCAGTTGCAGAGCTGAGTACCGGAATCAACCCTCTAAATATAAGGCTGTGCCTCGCAGGAGCCTCATCACTGCAGAACCAGTCAAAAGAGTCTGTCCTCAGCTCAGGAACCACTACTGATAGTATTGGCATTGCTGGCCTGTACTTTGCTACGAGTTTCGCTGTGCTCCCTCCTCTGGTCAGGACCAAGATGAGAGATGCCTTAGCCGAGTTAGCAGTTCGGACAGCTGATGATGCAAGGCTCTCCAATGGGCTCATAGGAACTGGTGCTGCTGCCGTCATTCCCTTAAAAACAGATCCATAATCCAGATATGATTCTGCCTCCAAGCAAATTTTAGCCATTGTCTGAACTGCTAGCTCCGGGTAAGCACCTGCAGCTGTTTCACCGCTGAGCATCACACAGTCTGTGCCATCGAGAACTGCATTGGCAACATCAGTTGCTTCCGCTCGAGTGGGGCGAGGGGCCTTGATCATTGATTCCAACATCTGAGTTGCTGTCACAACGGGTTTTCCTTGTATATTGCACTTGAAAATCATCACCTTCTGGGCATAGAATATCTTCTGGATAGGAATTTCCATCCCCAAGTCTCCCCGTGCAACCATGAATGCATCTGAGTTGGCAAGAATATCGTCAAAGTTGGCCACCCCTTCTTGATTCTCCACCTGCAAGTAATTTGGATAACATAAGAACTCTGAACTGTGTACACAAACATAGATGAATTCAGGAAGAGGAACAGACCTTGGACATCAGCATGATTGACTTGGCATGTGCACCAAGAACCTTTCTGACCTCCACAAGGTCAGAACCCTTGCGTACAAAGGACAAAGCGATCATATCAATTTTGTTTGGGACGCCCCATCTTAGGATATCCTCCTTGTCCTTCTCAGTTAGTGTAGGAAGGTCCACGATAACACCAGGAAGATTTACATTTTTTCTCTCTCCGAGCAATGCAGAATTCTCACAGCGACAGCATACCAGCCCCGACTCCTTATTACAGGAAAGAACTGTGAGCGTGATAGTTCCATCGGCACATAGTATCACACTGTCTGGCTTCAAATCCTCAGCCAACTTCTTGTAGCTCATAGATATCATGTTCTCGTTGCCCTTTATTGTGTAATCCGTGGTGACTGTGATTTCTTGACCCTTTTTTAGTTGGATAGGCTTGCCATCTTCCAAAAATCCAGTCCGGATCTCTGGACCCTGTGAGTTACCATACAAATATCAATACAGGAATTCCATTTCACGTTTGCACAATGATTGACATGCACATTCTAAACCAAGCAGATTTCATGCTGTCTAATGTCAACATTCCTGGGTAAGTTTTTTCATGGAACCTGGCCGAATTAACTAACTTTTAACCTCATCACCAAAGAAAATTTATCAGCACAATGATTCTTGGCAAGTATAGATTTGCACTACAAACTGCACTTTCACCTTCTATGTCGGATTGACAAACTGCATGTTTCTAAGATTCCCAAGTTCTCAACTACTGTCACTATCAACTTCTTTATCTATTTCACATTGCGTCCTTCCAATGACTCTGACCTATGAAATTATAGCAGCTACACTCCTGACATGTTAGACTAAGATTAGCCAGACCCAAGACAAATGTAATCTGTAAGTTAATAATGCCTTAGAGTTGTTCAGATGTGTATTTCTCTTATTTAAAGTGATCTAATGAGAATGGTATTCATAAGAAACATGATATGATGTATGCATGATAATAACAATTTTTCTGAGTCAGAATCTTTGCATATGTACATACTACCTGCAGAAAGGTTGTATGAGCACAAA